GCTGTTAGCTGACTGTCATAAGTTTCCACTGAACAGATGGGCAGAGTTTTTCTTTTTGTTGTTGGTTTTGTGTTTTTGAACTGGCTGAAGCATTCAGTATGAGATTTTTTTTTTTTAAAGATTTATTTATTTATTTATACAGAACTGGGGTACAGGCCAGAGATGCGGAGGGTGAGAGGATTCACCAGGGACAGAGTGGGGAGCAGAACAGGCAGATCGACGAAGAACACTGCTGAGGGGAGCAGCGGGCGGGTCAGGAGAGGTCTGCCACGCCATGTGGTCACCTCCGGGGCAGGCGGGAATCGAACTCATGAGGAAGTGGCTTTAGCTTCTTAGTGCAGTGCTTTAACCCGCTGCACCACCAGGGAGGGCCCCAGTATGAGATTTTTAATAGTTGGATTTTCTTGGCAGTGGAGATAAGCAAAAGCATTGTAGGTTACCCAAGGAAGCCAGGAACCAGGTATTTGTGACACTGGGGACAGTACAGGACAGTGAAGTTAGGGCCTCCTTCACCCAGCTAAGCAGCCACACAAATTAGAAATCTAATCTCACCAGGATTGACCTCTGGAGCCCCTGTCACAACTGCCCTGCAGCCACAAAGCTGGTGAATAAGCAGAGGAATATGGAATCTAGTCGGTGCTACTAGCACAAAGGTCTTCTGGCACTTGCGTGCTACAGTGGTGCAAATCAGTGACTCCCTTCCATATCTTCTGTATGCCCTGGTAAGAGTCATTATCACATCTGCAATCCTATCAGAAAGGTGTGTGCAAAACAGTATAGGCACTTCAGGGGGTGGGGGAAATGTGCACACACTGGCCACTGGCAGAACATAGGGAAGGAGTGGCGTGGCCAGGAGTACAGCGGTCTCAGGGCTCATTGCTCTTTGTAAAGAGTAATTTACACAGCACAGTACTGACTACTATGAGCTCACGACGAGCAGCAGTGGCAGAGAATGGGAGACTGTAGCTTTGGGCTAAGACTTGGGTCAGTTCTCTTTCTCCCACTAGTGGGGAAACCACTTGCCTTTCTGAAATAGGGGTGACATCCTCTATAAGGGGCTCATATTTTTTTACTTAAAGATTTATTTTTTTATGCATACAGAACTAGGGTACTAGCCATAGGTACAGGGATGGTGAGAGGATTCACCAGAGGCAGAGTGGAAAGCAGAGCAGGTAGATGGACAAAGTACACTTCTGAGGGGAGCAGTGGGTGGGTCAGGAGAGGTCTGCTGTGCCATGTGGGTCACCTCCCCAGCCAGGGATTGAACTCACACTGAGGCGACTGTGCCAAGCTTCAGTGGTGTGCCTTAACCTGTTGCACCACCGGGAAGGGCCCAGGATGCACATATTCTTAAGAGAAACTATATGGAAAGCATTTGGCAAGGCATTCAGAAATAATCAGTAAGTGGGTACTTTTGTTGCAGCTATTCATTAACTCTGTCATCACATAAAAGTATTTGGACATCTTGTTGGAGCAGAGTTACTCTTAACAAATACAGGTAAGTGTTATGAAATTGACTTTTGAAAGTTTTAGCTCTCAGTTTTTCCCCTGTGATCTTAAGGCCACCAAAATAGGTGGTAACTGTTTGTTTTTTTTTTTAAGATTTATTTATTTACGCATACAGAACTGGGGTACAAGCCTGAGGTGCACAGGCAGCGAGAGGGTTCACCAGACAGCTGGGAACAGAACAGGCAGATCGATGAAGTACACTGCTGAGGGGACCAGCAAGGGGGTCAGGAGATGTCTGCAGCGCCATGTGGGTCACCTCCGGGGCAGGGATAAAACTTGCACTGAAGCAGCTGCTACTACCTTGCAGCGCTGCATCCTTACGTGTTGTGCCACCAGGGAGGGCCAGTAACTATTATTTTAAACCATATGGGATGTTCCTCTAGGAGTTTCCAATCAAATAAGCATAATAAGCAGTATACTGTATAGTTATTGGCTAATTATTGAAATGAACACATACTGCTTTTGTAAGGTCTTTACCAAGACATGACTTTGAATTTTTTTCTTTGAGGCTAGTGGTAGAAGTTACTTAACTGTGAGTTCTTCAGGCCCAAATATATACAATGTAGTCTCATAGGTCTTGTTTTTTGCTTAGTGTGGATATATGCCAATATGTAGGGTTTGTGAAACGTGTCTATGAAGAGTACATCCTTAAGGCTGTTTGACCTTGACTCTATATTGACAGGTTTCTTTTAGGTACTTTCTCAGGGCAAGCTTACCTTTAGTCTTGTCTGTCTACCTCTCTATTGCACTAAAATCTTTGAGAGTATTGAGGTTATGTCTTACTCATTTTTATCCGTAGTACTTAGCTTTGTGCCTGGAAAGTACTGCTCAGTAAATGTTTGTTCAGTTTCTGAGCAATGAATATTAGGTAAGCACTGAGTAGAGTCATTTCAGTCAGACTAAATTCAGAAGGAAAAAGATAAGGATGGGGACGAGGAGGATTGGGAAGTGGAATATGGGGCTTGTGAATAGTGGGTTGCCCATTACTTACTGAGAGAACTGTTTTATTCTTTAATGTATAGTCAGGTCTAGCAAAGAAACGAACATACATTGAGTGTTCAATAAAAAATACTTGAATGAATGAATGCAAAGGTTAACCTTAGCTGAACTTAGTTTAATGCTTGTCTTAGAATATTTAAAGTACATGAGATATTTTTGGAAAAGTTGTCTAGAACTGGAACCCTGCATGGTGATCCCTTTCCATCCCCTTTACTACTTCATAACTAAGCTGAAAGGAGTTTGCTTAGCTGCCCTTCAGATCTCTCTACCAGGCCTTCTGACTGCTACCCTGGCCACTTAAAAAATGAATTTAACTTTCTACCCTTCTGTGCTACCTGCTTTTGCTGTGACAGCTTCTTCACTGTGCAAGTCTGTGCCCATCTCTGGGGAGGGTTTTCACTGCAACAGTAGCAGGGGTGGAGCTCCCTGACCCTGGCAGTCTCAATGTAAGAGGTGTTGCATCCCATCCCTGTCCTTCCTAACCAAAGAAGCTATGTCACTGGTTTAACCAGGGCTCTACATCATTCTAACTTGCAACCCTTTTTGTCTTAAGATTTGATAACCCTACTGGTTGGTAAGATTAGATCCTTAAATTTTTTACCCTTTAATAAGAACAAAAAATTATGTTCTTTGTTGCCAGTTTAAATTTGTGTATGGTAGAATTATTTCTCCCAGGTCATTGGATTAATACCTTTAATATTAATGTGTACTTTTAGAAAAATTACAAAGAAATGATATCAAAATGAGTTAATATAGTTTATTGGAGGTGACTTTTTCTTTTTTAAAAAAGTTATTTATTTATACATATAAGAATTGGGGTACAGGCCAGAGATCCAAGAGTAGTGAGATGATTCACCAGAGACAGAGTGGGGAGCAGAACAGGCAGATGTACTGCTGAGGGGATCAGCAGGCAAGACAGGAGAGGTCTGCTGCACCATGTGGGTCAGCAACCTGGCCAGGGATGAAACTCGTGCTGCAGTTGGCTGCAGACAGCCCCATAATGATGTGCTTTAACCTTTTGTGCCACCAGGGAGGGTTTGGAGGTGACTTTCTTTGTAAATAACTCCATGGTGAATGAATAATAGATGAAGAAAAGCTCTTAATTAGAACTTGGATATTTCGATTTCAGTTTTCCTTCATCCTGTAGTTCCTGTTGAAAGAGGAGAGTGTCAAAAGGTTCATACTATTTATGTTACAAATTTCCAATTGTGATAGACACATTATTTATGAATATTTTCCCTTAAGGAAATGTAAATGTTAGAACCAGTTTTAAGGAGTTTTTAATCTACTGTAATACTTGTTTTAATAGGCATGTTGGAGACAAGGTCATGATTATTTATAAAGTTTTATGTTGCATCTTTAGAATTGAAATCTTTTGCACAATGAGAATTAGCTTGGAGTGTTTTTGATTAGTATATTTGACAGATTGATTTAGAGTAGAGCTAGAAATTCAGTAGTTTGCTGACTGTAGTAAAGCTATAGCATGGTTTTTTTTTTGTTTGTTTACCTTTTTCCTTTGGGAGTTGAATAATTTCATGTGGTCTGGTCATGTGGGATATAATACTGTGTTCATTACATCTGCAGTATGACTACTTCTTACAGGTTTTAAGTATCAGTATAACTAAATTCTAGGGAAGAAGGGGGACATTATTTCCCTGATCGTAGTAATTTATTTTGAGAAGAATTCTAAACTCCCACCCAAGGAAAGAAATGTAAGATCGGTAACTTTCTATAAGCTACCTTCTTGTGTTTATTGGTTCTTCTTTTTTTATTTGTTTCATTTTTAATCCTTCAAAATATACAATTATATGAAACAATTTGGGATTATTTTTCTTATTTAAAACTGGAATAAGAGATGATTTTATTGCATTTCTCCCTAATGTGTTACTGGAGAGGGTGGGAAGAAGTCTTTAATTTATTAGAAAGAAAAACCATTTAATGACAGAATAGTATAAGTAGGTTTTTACTTTTGTGAGACCTGCCATTTAACGTTTGAGGTCTTGATTATGCATTAACATAGTCAAATATTTATATATATATATATCAACCCTCAAAACCTAGTGACCTTTATGATTAAGAGTTTTTAAAGATTTATTTATGCATACAAGAACTGGGGTACAGCCCAGAGGTTGAGGGGGTAGAGAGTATTCACGAGAGACAGTGTGGGGAGCAAAATAGGCAGATCAACTAAAGTACACTGCTGAGGGGAGCAGTGGGCGACAGGAGAAGTCTGCTGGGCATGTGGGTCTGCTCCTGGCTGGGGATCCAACTCAGGTTGCAGTGGCTTCGGATGGCTTTACTGTGTTGTGACTTAACCCTCTTGTCAACAAGGAGGCCCTGATTAAGAATGGTTTTAAACAGAATTGATGTTTTTTACAAATCAGTATAATTGGCCTTTTGTTCCCAAGTATTCTTGCAATAGGAAAAGGGAAGTTGTAAAAAATTTTAATGTAACTCAGCTAAATTTATAGTATTTCACCATTTGTTGGCAGGACTTTGTGTCATTGTATCAGGATTTCGAAAACTTCTATACAAGGAACCTCTATATGAGGATTAGAGACAACTGGAATCGACCCATCTGTAGTGTGCCTGGAGCCAGGGTGGACATCATGGAGAGGCAGTCTCATGATTACAACTGGTCATTCAAGTGAGTCGTGGTTTCTTCCTTTCTTTAATTGAAGTATAATTGATAGACATTATGTTGGTTTCAAGTGTACATCATAAGGATTTGACATTTATGTGATGTGATTACCACATTATGTTTATTTCCCATCTGTTAGCAGTTTTTTCAGTGCAGTCTTAACTGCTGTGGAACCAATCCTGTGCACTGTAGCCCAGGGCTTGCTTATGTTATAACTCCCTGATCCCCTTTATCCGTTTCACTACCTCCCAGGAAATGATTTGACAACAACAACAAAAGAATTTCTTCACTTTATAAAAACACTACATTGCAAATTGAGTATTCTGTCAAAACAGACATAGAAGTAAATTAGAATACATGATTAGTTTCCTTGCATGTTACTGTTTTTGAAAATTCAGATACATTTTCTATTACATTTGAAACTGTGGTGGATTGTAATTGAAAATTTTACTTATTAAAAAACAGAGAAAACTCTATTATGCTGTTTACCAGAATCAAGTATCTGAATTTATTTCTTTTTGAATATTTTGATTTCTCAAATGATTCAAGGATGTTTGTCATGTTAAATGGAGTGAATGTTATATATTTGTATGTAACATGTATGTTAAATGGATTAAATAGTTTAAAAGCCATCTTAATAGCCATAACATTTTATTTTATAGTTTAGATAATTTAAGTATTCTGTGGTTTTGTTGCCGTTATTAGAAACAAAAACAAATAATACAAATAAACTGAAAATCCCCTGTGACAACTAACAACTACCCCTCTATAAATCCATTCCTGCACAAACCCTTCCTACCCAGAGGGAATCATTATCTGTTGCTGCATATTGTTCTTCCAGATGTTTTCATGCAGGGTATGTATGAGGTATATCTGTTGGGATTATTCACTATTAGTTTTTGATTAACAAAAAGGACCCTATTATAGGAATCATTTTACATCTTGCTTTTTTAAATTTGCTGACACATTAGTAACATCCTCCTTATTTATAGTTCTTACTTAGTATTTTTCAGTATACAAATGTACATAGTAGCTAGCAGGTTGAGGTGCAACATCATCATTCTGTATTAAAAACCCTAAATCTCAGGGTCAGAACAGCCACAACTTATTTCTTGTCCACATTTCATGTCATTCTTAGGTTGGTGGGGCCTTTGAGCACTCTTGTTCTCATTTAGGAATCCAGACTTACTGAGCTTCTTCTACATATGGAATGTCATTGGTCTGTGTGCCTGAGGAAGGGACTCGGTCAATCATGTAGTGACTCTTAATGGGTCCTTATGCATGTGGTGGGACTTGCTGCATCAGAGAACATCTGTAGCTTTTAATAGATAAATATTGCTCAATGTTGTCCCCACTTAAAAGGTACTGACTGGTCAGTACTGGATACAAACAGTTTTCAAATCTTTGTGATTTTGGTAAGTGAAAATTGGTGTGTTGTTTCAATTTCCATTTCACTTATTGTTAGTGAGTTTGAGATTCTTTTAAGTTAAATCATATTTTCTTTACTTCTTGCACCTTCCCCTCTGCTCTCTTTGTGTTATCAGTATACTTGATATTACATGTGTTTGATTTGCTCATACATTGCATAATCTTGTATTATATTGAAATATAGGTACACAGGGAACATAATCAAAGGTGTTATAAACATGGGTTCCTACAACTATCTTGGATTTGCACGAAATACGGGATCGTGTCAAGAAGCAGCTGCTAAAGTTTTAGAGGAGTATGGTGTTGGCGTGTGCAGCACTCGGCAGGAGATTGGTAAGAACAGCTGCATTTGACCAGCTGATGCTCTTTGCCTTAGAATGTTAAGCATCTGGATGCACACTTTGCTGAATAAGTTAGCTCAGGTCAAGAATGCTTTGTTTTTCTGAAGTGATGGATGATTTTTACGCTTTCTTCATACTTTCCATTACGTTACACATATAGACTTAGGTCTAGAGAAGTTCCGTAAGTATTTGTTTCATTTTTTTTAGCATTATTTTTTTAAATTTTATTTTATAACAGTTTATTTTTACATCATTTTGTACATTTTTTTCCCACCTCAATTGTAATCCCCATGGGTTTCCCATCACCATGCCACCCGTGCACTTCCCTTCTCCCCCCCACCCCCCGTTTTTGATCCCATTCCTCACTCCACCCCCACAAAATCAAAATGTCTCTGGTATATGACTGTTCATTATTCTTGTTATTTTCTCGCCTGGTCCATTATACTCCTGCTATGAGTGAAACCATCCAGTATTTTTCTTTATCTTTCTGGCTTATCTCACTAAACATGATCTTTTCCAGCTCCATCCAAGTTGCTGCAAAAGACATGTGTTTCTCTTTTTTGGTTGCTGAGTAATATTCCATTGTATATATGTACCACATCTTTTTAATCCAGAGTATTTGTTTCATTTTTAACTTTAACACTTTAACGTTGACTTAGTTGACTTTGCATGTGAGGTGTGTTAGTGTACCTCTAGTATAGAGCCTCTGGGCATATGAGAGTTAATTTGTTTCCATGCAGATAAATTGGGGCTAATAATTCCCAACATACACAGTTATTTCAAGAATTAAATAATACCTGCAAAGTGCTGGAAATACAGTAAATATTCAATAAATGTTAACTCTTTATTCAGATATCAGTAAAATGTAAAGCTTAACAGATTTCTATAAAACGATTCATTATAGTTCAAAGAAAGATTTAAAATTCCCTCCTTGTTTATTCCTGAGAACTAATAACTAGAAGTTATAAGCCAACTTCAAAACTTAGTAAATTAAAGCAGTAATTCATTATTATATCCTGTGGCCTTAAGCTTGTCATTCTCACTCAGGGAAGCACTCTGCACTTTGACACATAGTAATCTTACAAATTTATGTTTTATAAAGTACTTGAATACATTATTTCTATTGACCTTCACCACAGTGTCATGAACAATTACTATTTTTGGTGTTTAGCAAATAAGAAGAGGAGATCCATAGAGGTTAAATGCCTTGCCTAAGCTTTAAAGACACATAGCATCCAAGTTCACCAGTCCTTTTTAGCGTCTTTCTCTCTACTCACTCATCAGTGGTGTTCAGTGAGGGAAGGTGCTGTTAGTCTGTTATAAAGACATGTGGAGACAGGCTCTGCAGGAAACGAGACTAGCAACAGGAGGAAGGAAGCAGAGATGTGGGCAGACCACTCCACAAATTAGCCATGCAAAATAGAACCATATTTATTTGTTTGTAATTTTGTACTTTGGGAAAGGTTTGATACTTATCTCAGTACCATGTGGTATTGTATGGGTCATAATGAATGAAGATAGAGTATCCAAGATAACTTTACATATGCTTGGAAACTTGCTGGGGTGAGTGGGGTCAGCCGAATGCTGCCCACATCTCTGCTCCCTTCCTCCTGTTGATACTCTCATTTCCTGCATAGCCCGTCTCCACAGACTAGCTAGCTTTGTGTGTGGCAGTAAACTTTAAAGTATAAAAATACTTTAAAAGTGTAGAGGTCTGCTGTGCTAGGGCCCTCCCTGGTGGCACAATGGTTTAAAGCTCAGCACTATGAAGCTGTTGCAGCCACTGCAGCACTAGTTCTATCCCCGGCCATGGAGCTGACCCACATAGTACAGCAGACCTCTCCTGACCTGCCCGCTGCTTCCCTCTGCAGTGTATTTCAGTCATTCTGCCTGTTCTGCTTTCCACTCTGTCTCTAGTGAATCCTCGCACCCCCACCTCCATACACCTCTGGTCTGTACCCCAGTTTTGTATGAATAAATAAATAAATCTTTAAGAAAACAAAGAAAAGCACTTATTACCAGTTTTCTTAAGGCTAGGCCTAACAGCTGATATTCTCCTAATTGGTTTGGGAGAAATTGTTGGCTACCCTCTTTACAGAAGTTCCATCACGTGTGCTGAATTTGCATTTAGTCAGCTACTGTGTTATGAACACTCTTCATAATACTGACACCTCACTCTAAAAAGATTATAACAGAGGCTATGATTTTACTTTATATATAAAGTATTGAGTAATTCTTATACTTGGAATTTGGTAGTATTGACTCTTAACTTCTTCACTCAGGAAACCTGGACAAACATGAAGAACTAGAGAAGCTTGTGGCACGGTTCTTGGGGGTGGAAGCTGCTATGGCATACGGCATGGGATTTGCAACAAATTCAATGAACATTCCTGCTCTTGTTGGCAAAGTAAGACCTGCTTTTCATTTATGACAACTTCCTCATATGTATGTATCTATTTTGGTTTATTTGGTAAGCATGCAGAGCAAGCCAGCAGCTATGTCAACTATAGAGTAGAGATTGTTGGTCCAGAGATATTCCTAGCACAAACTTTTGGATAAGTATGACCTATAGAGATAGAACATCTGAAGCACCCTTGATAGAATCTTCATCTTTTTCTATTAGATGATTCTTGCTTCCTTAATTTCATGTGATTTTGATGGGATCTTAATAAATACCTCAAAAAAAAAAGGTCAAACTTATAAGAGAAAGAATATTTAGTTGAGAAAGTAATTTTAATAGGTGGCTTTTCGGAAACATGAAAATATGGAGGTACCTTAATACTTGTCCTTGCTGTAAGATATGTTACACAGAGATAGTGGACAAAGTACACACATACACACATAACTTTATTTTCTGAAGGTATAGCTTGTGTAGAAAGGATAGAAAAAAGACACTTTGTAAGTTACATTTTTGCAAATTGGCACTAGCAACTTGACAAAATTCTCAAGGTTATTCTTATTTTAGCATAAATTGCTAGCAAGAGTATGTTGAAAAATCAGAGGACTAATAAGTTAGAAGACTTGAGTTTTTCATTGGCAATATAGTCAGCTGTGACAGTGAGCATGTCACAACTTTTCTGAGCATCAGAAAATGTGAACTAGGTTAACTGTACAGTACTTTTCAGTTAAAAAATGTATAATTTTTCAAGAACCAGATGGAGCAAATGGAAACCAAAGCAGGAGAGAATATTAAACCGACTTATGTTACATGACATTAAATAAATTGGTTTATATACATTCCAATTAAAAAAACAGATTGTCAGATAAAATTAAAGACACAGGTTAAAAGTAAAAGGTTTGAAAGAGATACAACATGCAACTAGCAGCAAGAAATACTTTTAGAGATGAAGGGGAACATTGTTGCATAATGATGAAAGAGTTACATTCATTAACACTTTGGGGACAAAATGGATGGATTTTTTTCTTTTCTTTTTTTTTTATTAAAAAGTTTATTTTTACATCATTTTGCACATTTTTTTTCCCATCTCAATTGTAATCCCCGTGGGTTTCCCATCACCAAATCACCCCTGTGCCACCACCATAGTCCCGTGCAATCTCCCCCCCCCCCCCCCCATGCCCCCTGTTTTTGATCCCATTCCCCACTCCACCTCCACAGAATGTCTCTGGTATATGGTTGTTCATTATTTTTGTTTATTTTCTCGCCTGGTCCATTATACTCCTGCTATGAGTGAAACCATAAAATGGATGGATTTTTAAGGTGCTTATGAAATAAGTCAGAAAGTGAAAGACAATTACCATATGGTCTCATTCATTTGCAGAATATAACTAACTAAAGAAAGCAAGCTGGCAAAGAAACCAGAACAGTTCTAAGACTGTAAAAACTATACGAGTTACAAGAAGGGATGGGAGGGAGGGGAAAAAGAGATAGTTGATGGAGGAGGAGAAGTATGTAACAAACACAGGTGTGAAGTTGTGCTCCCAAACTAAATATTTAAGTAAGCTGGTGGCAAATCAGTAAAACTTGAAGAAAACCCATAATTTCAAATGTATAGGCATCAATAAGAGAATCAATATGATAGCAGTAAGTACATAAGCAAGAAATTAATGAAGCTGAAAGGAAAAGGAGAAATAGACAAACACAGACTTAGAGAGCTCAACACCTCTCTCTCAGTAACTAATAGAATTAGAAAATCTGTGAGGATGTATATAACAGTTAAAAATCTCAACCAATTTGACCTAATTATAGCATTTATAAAACCTTTCAACAGTGGGCTATTTACTAAGATAGACTGTTTTCTGGCCATTAGGTATGTCTTAACAAATATAAAAAATTTTAAGCTATTCAAAGTATGTTTGCCGACCATAATGATGTTGAACTAGAAATTAGTAACCCAAAGATACCTGGAAGATCCTCAGATATTTGAAAATTAAACCACACACTTCTAAATACCTGTGAATCAAATAAGAAAAGAAAAATAGAATTTTTTTTCTGTCTTAGTTTTCTTACCCTTTGTTCAGTTTCTCTCTATTCCACATATGAAAATATTTTTAACTAAATGGAAATGTTATAAATTACAGTTTAAATGGTGAAGTTAAAACAATGTTCAGATGGAAATATATAACTCCAAGTACTTATGTTAGGAAAAAGAAGTTTAAATCAGACTTAAACTTCTACCTTAAAGACAATTTAAAGGAAGAGGAAAAAAACTTCTACCTTAAAAATGTAGAAAAGCAGAAGAAAATTAAACCCAAAGATTTCAAAAAAGGTAGGATATTATAAAGGTAACTGCAGAAATCAGTGAATTAGAAAATAAAACAGTAGAAAAAAATAAGTAAAATCAGAACTGGTTCTTGAAAAAGTGAGTAAAATTTAATAAATCTCTTCTCAGACTGCTCAGGATAGAAGAGAAAAAAATCCCAGATAAGTGGGCTTCATCTTTGTACATCCTACAGACAAAATGAGGATAGTAAGGAGTAAAAACAACGTGATGGCCATCAATGGAACAATTTCGATACAATGGATGAGGAAAGATGTGAATGAATGGTCTTTGACTTCAGTTCAGGACTTTTTGTCTTGCATTTTGCAGTATAAATCTGATATTCTTACTGGAATTTCTTAAAATATCTTACACTATTATGTAAAATAATCTCATCCTGCATTTCTCTGCTAGGCTCACAGATTCTAAGAATCATGTCTAGAATTAGATTTCTTGTAGACAAACATGGGAAATACAGCCTTAAGTATTTATTCCAAATTCTAAACATTATAGTTGAAATATTATTAAATATAATTTAACCCATTAAAGATTGCAAATAATTTAGTTTCAATATTTAATATACTAAATTTCTGTTTGATTTGGCTGATTATTCAGCTTAAAGACAGTGTATTAAGAACTTAAATTTTGGAAGCAAATGCTGTGTGAATGTCACATACTATGCTTGTGACTTTGAACAAGACTTGGAACCCTAAGCAAGTTTCCTTATGTGTCATAACATACCTACCTCGTAGATTCTGTTGTGAGAATTAAAAGTAATGATGTGTTAGCAGGAGTATAATGGACCACGCAAGAAAATAATAAGAATAATGAGCAGCCATATACCAGAGATATTTTGTGGGGGTGGAGTGGGGAATGGGATCAAAAACAGGGGGGAGAGAGAAGTGCATGGGACTATGGTGATGGCACATGGGTGACCCTACAGAGCTTACAATTGAGATTTAAAAAACAAAAATGTACAAAATGATGTAAAAATAAACTATTATATTATAAAAATAAAAAATAAAACCTCAAAAAAAAGTAATAATGCATTTAAAGCCTATTTTAATATAATGCCTGAAGCCTATTAAGTTCTTAGGTATTAATTGCTGACACTTTAAAAAAAAAAAGATTTATGTATGTATGTATTTATGTATAGATACACAAGAGCTGGGGTATAGGCCCAAGATGTGGGGCATGAGAGGATTCATGAGAGTAATTAGTGGAACAGATAGATCTGCTGAAAACACACTGCTGAGGGGAGTAGCGGGGAGACAGGAGAGGTCTGCTGCGCCATGTGGGTCAGCTCCCTGGTTGGCTGGGAATCAGACTCATGCTGTATAGCTGGTGATAGCTAGATGGCACTGTATTTAACCCTTGTGCCACCAGGGAGGCCCCTTTAATTGCTGACATTTAATTTTTAATTTTTTTTATAATGAAGGACTCACTTTAAAAAAAATAAAAGGCTTTATTTATGCGTACAGAACTGGGGTATAGGCCAGAGGTGCAGGAGCCGTGAAAGAATTCACTAGAGCTAAAGTGGGGAGCAGAACATGCAGATCCACAAAATGCACTGCTAATATGAGCAGTGGTCAGGTCAGGAGAGGTCTGGTGAGCCATGTGGGTCACCTCCAGGGCGCAGGATCAAACTCGCACTGAGGCCACCATGGCCAGCTTCAAATGCTGTGTTCCAACCTGCTGGGCCACTAGGGAGGGCCAATTTTTTAATTTTTAACCAAGGATATAATAGAAACTAATGTAGATTAGAAGAAAAAACAGATTGAAATATAGAAATTTTGGCTAGAACTGAGTCAGAAGGACGTGATGAACAAGAACAAAATTACATTGCAAGTTTTGCAGGAAAAAAATACTTTACCTAGAAAGAGAAGAAAATAAAATTGGGTGTGGAAGGAAAGGGGAGGTCTTTTCAGGTATAGTGGAATGCTAGCAGTGGCAAGTAAATGACCTGGCGATTTGCAGAAGAGAAAGCTAATAATCTCTGTTTTTTCCCAGTTTCTTTCACTTTTTCAATTATAATGCTCTCCCCCGCACCCCCCAAGATATAGTGAAACTTACAGAAGAGAGTTGCAGAAGAGCTTTATGTTAACAGCTCATATAACATAGGAACATTTGGCAAACTTAACATGGCCTTTCATGTACAGAACTTTTTCAGTTTTGCCAGTCTTTCCACTGATGCCATCTTTCTATTCAGGATGTAGTCAAGAACCTGCATAAACTTTGTTGTCTCCCTCCTCATCTGCTCCACTGTGTGACAGTTCCTGTCTTTGTCTTTCATGCTCTTGGACACAGCACTGGTCACTTACTTTGCAGGATGTCTTGATTTGGGCTTGTCTGCTGTTTTGTCATGATTTGATTAAGATCATGCATTACTGAGAAGGCTGACACAGAGGTCACATGTCCTCAGGTCCATCACAGATTACATGATTTTGATCAGTATTTTTGGTGATGTTAACTTTGATCACCTGGTAAGTTTCAGTTAGGATTTTATACTATATACTTACTCCCTTCTTGTTTGCCAAGTATTACGGTAGAGATAGAAACTTCTCTCCACTGACTTTAACAGTTGTGGGTCTTGGCTGTGGCAGTTGTTAACTTGGTGTTTTGGTGATTTTTCTGCTTTTCTTCTTCCATATATGCTTCTTAATAGGAATTTTATGGAAGGGAAGAGTTGTTACTTTTCCCTTGTTTATATCAGTCTAGACTCATGATTACTTTTTATTTTGTTGCTAGGTGTTCCAATATTGGCCACTGGGAGATCTTTCAAGTGGGCTAAATATGCATATACCTGTCCTTTTCTTAAAAGCACTTTCTTTGTAGCATAACAAGATACTCCAGGTTCTTTTTTCCCAATCCTAGCCTTAGGGGCAACCAGTTCTCTTGAGCCTTGATTCATTTTATTGGAGGGCTATGTTAGAAACATGTCTAATTTGGAGGTAGATATGGTGTGAAGCATACAGTTGCTGAGAAGAGAAACTAATAAAACCTAATGTTACCTCACTAAAAAATGGGAAAGTAATCTTTTAATAATCTAAATAATAAAAACTTTGCACAGTAAAAGTTTCAGATAGATAACTTTTTGTAAGTTTAAGTGTCCTTCTAAGGATATTTTGTAATAAATGGCATATCTATGTGTCTACTTACCTTCTCTTATATTCTTGTGAGAGCTTGTCATTTATTTCCTGTTTTTCATCTAACTGACCATTTTGAGGTTGTTGTTGACAGAGAGAAAACTGCTTCTGATTTCTGATCATACAGATTGAAGGCTTTATGAGATACAAAAGAATAAGAAGGGGTAGAAATAGAAACCAAGAATTTAAGTGTTTTCTTATTGCCTTAGCAGAAACTTATGTTTACAAGTTAAAGTAAAGCTTGTTCAGTGATTTTTTTTTAATTTTTTTTTTTTTTTAAGATTTATTTATTTGTACATACAGAACTGGGGTACAGGCCAGAGACGCGGAGGGTGAGAGGATTCACCAGAGACAGAGTGGGGAGCAGAACAGGCAGATCGAAGAAGTACACTGCTGAGGGGAGCAGCGGGCGGGTCAGGAGAGGTCTGCCACGCCATGTGGTCACCTCCGGGGCAGGCGGGAATCGAACTCATGCAGAAGCGGCTTTAGATTCTCAGTGCTGTGCTTTAACCCGCTGCGCCACCAGGGAGGGCCTGTTCAGTGATTTTTAAGTACAAAAATGGAGGCCTACACTCCATCAAGGGAAAAGAAAAGATTTAGAAAAATACATTATTTCCATAGGCGTTAACTTCCTTGGCTGTCTTCTTCCCAAAACACTTTGTCCTATTAATAAAAAATACATAATGTATTTTTCTTAGGAAATTGATAGTGTTGGGGTTTGTGCAAGCTTTCCTTAATAAATGTAATTACTAATGATTTTTAGAATTTTATAATTTCCTCAACTGTCCTCCCCACTTATCTTCCTGTGCTTGTGATTTTGCAGGGTTGCCTGATTCTGAGTGATGAACTGAATCATGCATCACTGGTGCTAGGAGCCAGACTCTCTGGAGCAACCATTCGGGTCTTCAAGCACAACAGTGAGTTTGTGGTAGGATTCACTGCCAGCCTAAGTATTAAGCATTCTTTAGGTCAGCAGCAGTAGTGACATTAGTTTCATTAATAATAGGAAACATAAATGAAACTGAGGTATCACTCTGGCTCAGTCTTTTAAGAATTAACTGTCTTCCCTATTAGAATAAAGATAAATGTGGAAGCCTTTTGGCTGAGTATATAACATTCTCTTTTTATTTGACTTTCTCCCTGGTTTATAAGTCACTTTTTCAGTATACATTAATAATGACTATGGTGTTATCTTGCCACAACACTGGAGGTAAATAAAGTAGGATCTCTGATTGCAAGGATCTCTTGCTGGTTAATGAATAAACCAGCTGTTATGATACAGTGAACAGCTGAAATAATTGTGTTAACAGATGTTATAGAAGGATAGAGAAAGTTGGTTCTAAGCCAAAACTTTCTCTCTAAATGGGAATATCTTTGTGTATTTCTAAAATAACCCTTTACAACAAAATGTGTAAGTCTTGTAATTAGAATACTCTCATGTAGGGAGGAAAGATTACCAAGCTTCTATCAAAGATTGCTCCAATCTTCCTCCCACTTGTGAACATGTGCAGACCAAAGTCTAGAATATTCTTCTGCACCTTTGTTAGGTGTGTACCTCTGGATGGAAGGTTTGTGAATGGCAGTCATTTTCTCCTTTTTATCTTTGTCTTGTCTAAAATGTCTTGCAATGAGAATAAAACTATTCTTTTATGTAAATGGATTTATTAAACACTTGTGTAACATGTTATTTTCTTTTTAACATCACATGATGGATATTGCTTGGCAGTTTGTGGGAGAGTGGCAAGCTAGTGACTGGATGTACCCTGATTCAGTCCAGCCCACAGATTGGTCACTGAGGTTGTTTCTGAAATTTTCTTCTACAAGGAGTATTAACTCCAGTCATTTTTGCTCAGTGATCTGAGAGTGCGTTAAGATAAATTCCTATGAGTCTCAGAATGCCTGGTGAAATAGCTAAAGGTTTTTTATATTTTTCCAAATTGTATTTAAGCTTAGTACATATTTTTGCTTAACAACATGACTGTTTTTACTAGCTGGCCAACAGACTATTTTGAATTATATTAAGTGTTTTCTAATAAGCAAATAGCAAGTAACTTTTATTTATTTGATTATTAGGTGTTGAGTTACTTTTTACATACAGTTAATATATTTGTATTTTTCACTTTGTAAATTAGCCATTTTCAGGGTTTTTTTTTAACTTACTAAGGATCCCTTATAGTAATTATTCTTTCTTTTATGTTGCAATATTTTAAGATTTACTTTTAACTTTGTATGTAGTGTCTTCTGTGTGAACTTATTCAAATACTTTTTGAAATCTGTCTTTTGGATTTTGCGTAGTGCCCTTCCATTCTAAGATTATAAGGTTATTCTCACTTTCTCCTAATAGCTTTGTGGTGTATTTTTAATTTAAACCTTTAATTTTCATGACACTTGTGGAGGGTAGTATGAGAGAGAATGAATTTTTTTCCCGCCAAGTATATAGATAATATTGTCAAGCACATTCTACTGAAGATACTTCCTTTCATCTAAGAATGTGAATCAATATTTTTCCCTTCCTTTATGTGTGTGTGTGTGTCTATGTATATGTGTATATATGTGTATACACGCACAGGGGAAACCAAAACAATGGGTGCATTTTTACTTGTTTCCTGCTGATTGCCACCGTTGCCCTCTGAGGCAGGATTAGCATCTTCAGATCAGACGTGTTTACTTCAGCAGAGGACATCTCCTGTCTTTGGGTTAGGTAGCAGGCCACTGTTTTTATTATAAATAGCTGTGGGTGTAAACCCAGTGACAACAACCTTTGGCTATGTTACTGTGTTTGTAATGTTTTTATTACCTTATTTCTCTTTTCTACCAAAGACCGTATTTATGAGAAGAGAATATTGTGTATCTTTGTAAACTCCTCCTTCAGTGATGAGCAGTAAAGAATATAAAACCAGATTTTACGATAGGGTGTTCTCCACTGCTGTTCAGTAACCTCCAGGGCATTATTTGAGGGCAAATATTTTAAGTGTGACGTCTACAGTGGTGTTTAACAGTGGCCGTCAAAGCATTTGTCTAACAACTAAGTGATTCTCGTCATTTATGTTAGTACTTGAAATTTTTTCCTAGGTTTATTAACTCCTGATGGATCAATGGAAAGAACCATAGAACTTGGTTTTTGTGGCTTGAAGGGGTAGTGTGATAGTGTCTTGGTACTGCAGAGTGAGTGGGTATATGATTAAAAAATCTTGTGTAAAGGTAGATGATTATGATGATTATGTCAAACATGGAACAAATTCAACATGGATTCCAGCATGCCCAAACTGGTATATTTTTAATCCACTGCCAAGATACAGCTATTAAACAGGCTCTTATCAAACACATTCTAAGTGCAAGGAAGTCATACTTGGAGAACCTCCCTTACGCGCCTTTCATGTGGTATACATATTTGTAATATTTGGTTTTCTTTATGTATTTGGTTTATAAATATGCAAAATGCTACCTGAATGACAAGATATTTTACATGAAACTTGGTCATTTCAGAAGCTTCATAACCAACTAAATCAGTAGTGTCATCATCGTTTAGTAGAGATTCTATAGTTTTAAGCATTTGTTACCTTTTAAATGAAATATCAGTTCAAGATAGAGGTAGCTCACCCATCATATACTGTCTTCTTCTGCTCAGATAATGTTAATGTTCTTCTCTAAGACATACTTCCAGAAGAAGTACTTATTTCTTCAGGAAAATGCAAACACGTACTTACATTTTTAGAATAAATTTAGGAAAGAAGAAAGTTCTTTGTGCTGAGATTCTTTTCTTGTGTGCTATAGATATGCAGAGTTTAGAGAAGTTATTGAAAGATGCCATTGTTTATGGTCAACCTCGGACACGGAGGCCCTGGAAGAAAATTTTAATCCTTGTGGAGGGAATATATAGGTAATGCTGATTTATTATTCTTACCTTTGTGATTTGGCCCCATGGAGTAAGAATTCTTCAGCTTGGAGGGACCCTGGATTCTTGGAAACTAAAGAAATATTGTTTATCACTTGTTAAAATACCTGGAAGCAGAATTAACACTAGAACAGAAGAATTGTGCCCTCATCTTTTCATCATGTTACATGGACTCCAAATACTCCTGTTTGGGCCTTTTAATTTTCTATATTTTGTAAAAATGTAAATGTAGAGGGAATTTACATATAGGAACAAGACATGTCATTTATTTTCTAATATGTCAAGACAAATGACACATCATTTAACCTGAGGAGATATTTTGATAATTTTAATCATATATACAATATGACACAGTCTCATGTTGACTGTAATTAAGCTTTATAACAATCTGCTACTGTAACCTTTATCTTTGTCTGGAGAATTAAGATCAGTCATGTTCTGGTGCTTATTTAAAAGATCCAAATCTCCTTTGTCCTAGACATCTGTGTAACCATGGCATCATGTAACTTTGCCAGTTTGAAACCACAGCAGGGTTGTTAGAACATTTAAAAGACAAAGACTTTAAAAAGCAATAATAATATAGTGGACAACTTCTAATTTTGAGAGTTACAAAGACTCAGTATATGTTTTTTACCCTGTTTTGCTAGCATGGAGGGGTCAATTGTTCGTCTTCCTGAAGTGATTGCCCTAAAGAAGAAATACAAGGCCTACTTGTACCTAGATGAAGCGCACAGCATTGGGGCTTTGGGCCCTACTGGTCGAGGTGTTGTGGAGTACTTTGGCCTGGATCCCGAGGATGTGGACGTTATGATGGGAACATTCACCAAGAGCTTTGGTGCTTCTGGAGGATACATTGGAGGCAAGAAGGTAAATGGATCATGAGAATTGGTTGGCTAAGGATAAAGGTACTGGCTACTGGACTTGGTAATTCATATTTAGCAAATAGAGTTCTGAGCCAGAATGTGGAGTAACTCAGTGAGTGGACTTCCCCCTTCAGCTGCCTAGGGAACAGCAGATGAACTAAAAGCTGGTTCTGTTCATTGTTATGTTTTTTTACTTGAGTGTCTTTCTAAACTATACTCTGGTCTGAGATGTCTCTACCTGTTTGCCACAGTCTTCTGTTGGGTATGGGTTGTGCTCACAATTTCAGAAGTAGTGGTGTTATCTTGGGAGCTCGTCAGAATAGACCAGTTTCCCTGCCCTTGAACTGAAAAGCATCTTGGGTGAATATAGAAAACAGTAAGATTATTTTGTTAACACTGGCATACCACTGGCATTGTATTTTTTAATTTATACATTTTGTGCTGAATTCTAAGGCATTTGGAGAACAGGTATTGATATGGTAGAGATGGTTGTTCTATAGAGACAGAGGCCTAGATTTAAATACTTCTCTTTTGCGAAGAGAACATTTAACCTATTTCCTTAGCTCAAAAACAGAAGTTAATATGCTGAGTTTGTAAGATTTTAGTAGAATTTGAAAAATAATGTATGTCTATGCTATAACATAGACAAACCTCAAAAACATACTAAGTTGAAGAAATCAATCAACAAAAAGATCACATTTTGTATTTCTTTTATATGATGTATCCAGAATAAACAAATCAAAGAACAGGCAGTAGAAAGTGACTGCTAATCTTGTCAGATTTCATTTAGAGGTACTGAGAAGTTTCCTAAAATTTGATAGTGATGAAAGTTGCATAGCTCTGTGAGTATACCCCAAAAAAAGTATTCTTTAAAAAAAGAAAAAAGAATGTGATGGTTTGTGAATTATGTCTCAATGTAGCTATTACCTACAAAGACTCCATAGCACTGGTGGGTGTGGAATAGAGTATATGTGTGTATATGTGTAGTATACATATGTGGCATATCACAGGTGCTCATAAAATAATTTTTCAAATTTCTGTTTAAATAGACTCAGGGTCACGTTTGAAAGTTAAAGCATTCTGGTAAGATTTGTTTTTGAAATAAAAGATAGATAATCAATATTCTGGGAAGTCATTTTCCTACAGTATATAGACGCTTTTGTGGCTTCTATATAGTTTTTAGTATATTTGAAGTGATAAATTGCTTTATAGCTACATTTTGCTTTTTTTTTCATTTTGTTCTGGCACATAGCTTAAGAGGCGTCAGAGGACAGACATATACAACTAACTGGCATACAAGATTTTTCTTTATTCAGTGAGATGACTTTAGTGTTTTAAAGACTCAGTGAAGCTCTGCCACTTTGTATTATTTTACAAATCTCTGTTATCTAAAAGATATTTAATACTTTTAAATTGATGTTAGAGAAAAAACTGTCATTCAGGGGGCCCTCCCTGGTGGTGCATTGGGTTAAAATGCAGCACTGGCTGTCCACAGCCAGTGCAGCTAGAGTTCAATTCCTGGCCAGGAAGGAACCTAACTCACTTGGCACAGACCTCTCCTATCTTACCCGCTGCCCCCCTCAGCAGTGTACTTCATCAGTCTGCCTGTCTGCTCCCACTGTTTATGGTGAATCCTCTCAACCGTAGTACCTCTGACCTGTACCCCAACTCTTGTATGCAGAAATAAATAAATCTTTAAAAAATAAAAAGAATTGGCCTTGTTGCTCACTTCACTCTAAAAAAAAACTCAGGAGTGCAGGCGTAGGCATAGGGTGAGATGCAGGTGACGGTTTCTGTAATACTTCGAAGTAAATCGTTGTGTCTATAAAACAGTCTGAACACTAGGAAAACAGCCTTCTGGAGCTTTTTATGACCTTAAATGACATGTTTCCCCAGAGGGCATCTTTAAAATCTGCTTTTCTTTCTTACATGTTGTAAGAAACATGTCACTTGTTCCTTACTGATTGTTGCTGACAGTGTGCTATGACTGCTTTGGTTGACCGTATCTCAGAGTAGTGTCCCCGTTCCAGTGCTTTTGAAGTGCTTTCCCTAGGAGGAGGCCATCAAGTTGCCAGTGAATTCAAGCATTGCCTCTAATGTCTCGATTCCTTGAATTTTCCAGGAACTGATAGACTATCTGCGGACACATTCTCACAGCGCGGTGTATGCTACGTCACTGTCACCACCTGTTGTGGAGCAGATTGTCACGTCTATGAAGTGCATCATGGGGCAGGATGGCACCACCCTGGGTGAGTTTCTTTTCTTGGAAAATTTCCTGAATTCAGTGAGTGCTTAGCCAACAACATGATCTTTTTGTCAGCTTTTTTCTGAAAATGAGGAGTCAGGTGTGCTTATGGCAGAGCTTGATGTGTGTGACACATTGGGTTCTGTGAACATCTTCATGTGTTTGATACAACATGCTATGAAAGCTAGTCTGGCTCTCTTCCTGGCCAGTTTTCTTGTTGACAGGTGTTGATGCTTTATTCTTAATCACCCGCTTGTATAAGTCTAAGGAAATAAGCCTGCAGGGTCTTTCTTGATATTGTACAATTTTATGTGAAGGTAAAATTTACTCCCTAGTGATGTTTCTCATCGTGTTTAAAAGCTATTTTTTCCTAGAACTGGTATCCCTGTCTTAATGTCTTTTAAAAGAATTTCTAACTTAACATGCAGTAGATAATAAAAACCATCCTGAATTCTGTTCATTGTGTTTTTGGTGGGATGTATAGTCCAAACCCAATGCCTTGACAGAAACATGCTAAAGTAAGGAATAAAGTGTGGACTTTCTCATCATTTCTGACTTTCATTCTACATCACTAGAGGGCACTGTTGACTGCAGGAAAGTTATAATTAAAGGGGATTACAGTTAAGTATTTTATCACTTTAAAAAGTATTTCCATTATGATTATGAGATGCCCATTAACTTTAATTTTTTTAATGCTTCTAAATTCACTTTTGATCTATTAAGAGATTTCATATTATTAGCCTTGAGTTCCCCGCTCTGTATTTACATGAAATACATTTGTTTTATAAATTGGTGCATGAGCCAGATCATTGAATTTTTCCAATTTTTTTAAATGCTGAAATGTAGACTCTGCTACATGAAAGTTCACACACTAACATACCTTTAGGAACAGATTGAAATCCAAATGTGAGGACTGTCTACTTTTTACTTTTCAATCTTACACCAATTGGTCATATTGTGATAATATTTCTGCCATTTATTTGTTTGAGTTACCTCTGTTCAGTGGGGTCCTTGTTCATTCGTGTTCACTGTTAATCTAATAATTTAAACCTATTCCACCTACTGGAGTTTCTTTGTTCATTACTCTGTTTACAGACATTTAGAATCTTAGCTCTTTTTAACTGTTACATGGTACAGTTACCAGTGTAACTGTTACAGTCTTTGTACATGCCTCCTTTGCATATGTGTGAGTTGTTTTTTTTTTTTTTAGGAAACTCACCTTGCAGTGATATTGATGAACATTTTTAGAGGTTGCCAAATTCTTTAAAATTGCTTATACTACTTTACTCTCTCCCATTAATAGTATGAAAGTTATAGTTTCCCCATTTCCTTGCCACTGGGTGTTAAAAGGTACCATCAGTCCCTTTTATCTATAGCAATATGTTTTTTGTGAAAGTGTCTTATAGCGGCTTTTTTATTTTATTTTATTCTGTTTTCCTCATTTTTAGTCAGATAGGCTGTTTATATGGATTTGATTTTAGGATTTCCTTATGATTTTTTTTTTAATAATAATTCCTTAATACTATTTTCTCTGAAACAGAAATAGTTCTTTTAATTTTGCTTATGGTATTTTATTTTATGAAACATTCCCTTTTTAACATTAAATTTATCAGTCTTTTATGCCTTAAATCTTTACTTGATTCAGCATCAAAAATATCTTTTATAAGTATTTTTTATTCTACTTCATTTCACATGAACTAATTTTTGATATATGTCTTTTTACATGGTTATTTTTATATGTGTGTATATGGTCTACTGTAGGGGAATTATTCTTTTTAGTTCCATCTAGAATTACCTGTATGTCTTTGTAGACCCATACATTTAAAAACTGTACCTTTTAGTCATTTCTTATGTTTTGAAGAAATTTGTTGGGAAAAATCAGCATTACATAGTAGCTGTACCAGTATTTCACTGTCACACTGAATTTCAGTGGTCCTGAGAATTGGGAGTAGGGGCAATAAGTGATAACCCACATAAGAGCACAAGATACTGAAATGGCATAATGAAATTGTAGATGGAAGTCTTTCTTTACTTTTCGGTAATTTCTTACATAAAATTTCTAAGAATGAAGGGAAAAGACCATGAAATGGAAGTTCTTGATTAGGTTTAAGGTTTAAGGGAATATTAGAAATAAGAGGCTGGTTTTCTCTCCTGCCCCTCTACTCTAATTTTTTGGTTGTTGTTAACTGGCAAACAATATTAAGCATTATTTAAATCCATTTTGACATGACTTTTTTTTTTCTTTTTTTGTTGAACTTTTAAAAAATTTCTCTGTTGTTTAAACTTACTTTACCATAAACAGCCTTTCTCTGGTGCCTCATCAGCAGCCGTTCTGGCACCAAACAGGATGTTAAACCAAACAATGCTATTGCAGATGGGACTGAAGGCACTAACTTCTTTCCCTTTCCTCCTGTCCCATATCAATTTCAGGTAATTCAGGAAATTAATTGTAGGACTACAGGTTCTAAATAAGCCACAGTTAGCATGCTAATTTTGGTTTTGGTTTTAGACTTAGTCGCTTGCACTGCCGGATATGTCACAATCTCATTACCACACATGCTGCTGCATTTCTGAAGACCCTGTACTTGAAAGTTGTGGCTTTGCTTCAGGGTTAAGAATTTTCATAGCTCTGCTTTCAACTGCTTTATTGAAGCTTTTGGCATTTTCTACATGATCATAAATTTGAAACTTTCATTCAAATTTTCATTTGTGAGACTGATTTAGGAATTTAAGGAGTTTATACATTACCTCAGCTAACAAATTGTTTATTTTTTTTCTTGACCCAGTTTGTACTCTCGTTAGTTTGCAGTGCTGGTATCTTGTTTGCCATATGAAGATCATGTTTCCTTTGTCTTTTGTATTTCAGTTTTTGAAACTTCCTATAGTCTCTGGGAGAAAATAGAAAATGTGGGGGGAAATTTGAGCATTCTAACCTTTCTGGATGTTCTTGCTTTTCCCTACTGGCTTTGAGGGGCTGGGAATAAGAGGAGAAAATAAAACATGAAAAAAAATCACAGTGATTTTTAGTGTTTATCCCTAAATTCTTTGATAATGATCTTTACTCATATAGCAGAATTAATAGGTTTTTTTTTTAAGATTTATTTATTTGTGCATACAGAACTGGGGTATAGGCCAGAGGTTCAGGAGCGGCGAGAGGCTTCACCAGAGACAGAGTGGGGAACAGAACAGGCAGATCGACGAAGTACAGTGCTGAGGGGAGCAGCGGGCGGGTCAGGAGAGGTCTGCCACGCCATGTGGTCCCTTCCGGGGCAGGCGGGAATCAAACTCATGCGGAAGCAGCTTTAGATTCTCAATGCTGTGCTTTAACCTGCTGCGCCACCAGGGAGGGCCCAGAATTAATAGTTTTTAATGTAAAACAATCATAAGCTTATAAATAGGAAGTACAAAGAACTTTTTCGCCCAAACTATTTGAACACTTTTAGAGATTGCCACATTCTTTCAAGATTGCTCCTACTACTTTATTCTCTCCCATTAATGGTATGAAAGTTATAGTTTACCCATTTCCTTGCCTCTGGGTATTAAAAGGTACCATCCATTCCAAGTGCTTTAGTTTTGCTATAAGGACAGTTTCTTTCATGATCACAGTACAGCTGTCCAAAGCAAGAAATTGATGTGTGATTTAATTAATATAACATGATAGTAATTGCTTCTGTAATGTTATTTCTGTAATAACTAATATTGACACATTATTATTATCTATTATTCTTTGGCTGCCATTCAGATTTGCTAGTGTCCCCGGAATGTGTATGTCATCCAGAATCATTTGTTGCATTTAGCTGCCAAATCTCTTCTGTAGTCACAATTCCTTTGTCTTTTGTATTTCACTTTTTGAAATTTTCTGCAACTTCTGGAAGAAAATATAAATTGTGTGTCTTCTGTAGTCACAGTTCCTCAACCTTTCCTTGACTTACTTGATGTTAGTACTTTCAAGGATTACAGTTCAGTTACTTTATAAATATTTTCCATGTGGTGAGGATTCAGGATATATGTCTAACAGGAATATCTCTGAAGTTATGCTGCGTTTTCCTCATTGCCTCTTCTATCTTAAAAACTAAATAACTTAGTCAACTTTCCCTGTACCTAAGTCAAATTTTGTTGGCTACCTTTTACTTCTGCTTATCCCTTACTGCCTTATTTCAGTCCCTGTCTACCTGTTGCTTAAGCCATTACACCAACCTCTGATTGCCTTATTCCTGCTCCATTCTTTCCTGAACAGAACCATGTTTTAATCTTCCTAAAATACAGCTATTACTATCTGTCTAAAAGATGCAGAAATTTAAAATAACAATCTGTAGTATTTTCAGTTGCTTATGGAATAAAGTTCAAATTGTTTATTTGATATGCAAGGTACATTTTGATTTTAGTTTGTTTTTTTTAATCAATACATTTATATGTTAAATATTAAAATTGGGGTCCATTCCCAAAAATCCTAAACATGTGAAATTTCCAGTGAAGCCATAACTTTCCATTATAATTTTGCCTCTTGAGATTTTGTTATTTGATTTTATTTCTTCATAACTAACCATGTAGCTACAGCATAATTCTAATAAATATATGTCTATTACTGCCATATACAGCATGTTTATTAATCTTTGGTTTTGTCACATCTGAATTAGGTTTTAGTCCCAGTATTTTGTTAGTGTCTACACTTTACTTTTCCCATTAGCAATAATTTTGGTTCTACTAGGATGAAATGTAGTAAGGTAATAGAATTATGGTGTTACAGAGAAAAAGAAGACTTATAGTGAAATGGATGAATTTTCATATAGAAATGAAAGAACTTTTAGAGAATAGGCAATAGTAATTCCAGAAGCCTGGGGATCAGATTTACTGATAACTTAGGGGTTTCACTGTATAATGTGTGAAAGTATAGGTTTTACCAAAGCTAAATGGATAAAAGGTGACTTAACTTTTAGTATAATTTTTTCTATTTATATGTCATCTTTCTTATTAAAGATTCTTTGATAACTGGAATCCATTCTT